GGGTTGACATGTTGTGGGGTTGTTAACCAATGTCATAAAACAATATGTGTACTACTGTTTCATGAGAAACTATTTGTTCTGTAAGCCTTCACCTGAAGCCCAATAAAAATGAAATTAAATTAAAAATAATAATAATATAGTGTCATTATAAATACATCATAAAGACCTTAAGAATACCCATACAGATGAATTATTATGTTGTTTCCAGTTATTTTTTTTATATTGCAAGTGATACTGAAGTGATCATGTTTATGTATAGGTGAGTTTTTTTTTAAATTTGGTATTATATCTTACATTGTTGTTAGTTGCTGTCCAATCAGCTCTAACTCATGGTGACTTTATGTACAACAGCATGAACCTTTGCCTTGACTTGTGCCATCTTCATGATTGTTGGTATGTTTGATCCCATTATTGTAGCTATCGTGTCAAACCATCTCATTGAGGTTTTCCCTCATTTTCATTGGTCCTCTATTTTACCAATTGGTCTTTCATAATGTTGTGTTCAAAGTAAGTGAGTCAAAGTCTCACCGTCCTCGTCCTTGTTTATAAGGAGCATTATAACTTACATTCCAAAAAAAAAAAAAAAATTGCCATCAAGTCAATTCTGACTCATAGCGACCCTGTAGGACAGGGTAGAACTGTCCCATAAGGTTTTCAAGAAGCACCTGGTGAATTTGAACGACTGACCTTTTGGTTAGCAGCCAAGATCTTAACCACTGCACCACCAGGGCTCCATACCTTACATTAGGCTCCTTGAATTAGAACACTCTGATAGGCTGAATAACAACCCGCCCAAAGATACCCATGTCCTGATCTATAGAACCTGCGAATGTTACCTTATATGGAAGAAAGGACTCTACGGACATGATTAAGAATCTGGAGTTAGGGAGATTATCCTGGATTATCGGAGTGCATTATCACTTGTATGCTTATAAGAGGAAGACAGAGGGAGACTTGACTACAGAAGAGAATTTAAAAAATGTGGCCGCAGAGGCAGAGATTAAAGTGATGCACACACAAGCTAAAGAATGCCAGCAGTCACCAGAAGCTGGAAGAGGCAATGATTGGATTCTCACCTACAGCTTCTGAGGGAGCGCAGTCCTACCAACACATTGATCTCAGCCCGGTGAACCTGATTTTGTATGTCTGACCTCCCGAACAAGAAAAGAATAAATGTGTATTGTTTTAAGCCACCAAATCTGTGGTAATTTGTTACAGCAGCCACAGAAAATAGATAAAATCACTACATCAAAACATAAAAGCATTTTTTAAATATTAATAAAAAGAGTCAAAGAACTATGCCAATTTACAATCCCATATGCAGTGTTTGAGATGGTTTATTTCACCAAACCCCCAACAGCAGTGATTATTGTCATTTGTGTGTGGGTATACCTATGTATAAAGTTGATAAATCCCCCCCAGAAATTTGCAAAGTTCTCTGTCCATTACGTCCCTTGATTCACAAAATCCTATGAGGAAAGTAGGCTAGAATAATGTGTCCTTAAAGTTGCAAGGGCAGCTTCTCCCCTCATGTAGAAATGTCACAAGCAATGCCTTTAATGGCTTTACTTAGGTTATCTTTAACATCGGTGAGATCACCAGAGACATGATTAATAATTTTGATATTAGAGCAAGCAGCAGAAAACTCATTCTCTATTCAAATCACCGTAAAACTTAGTGGCTTAAAATAGGGACCAACTTTTATTTTTCAAGCTGGGCAGAACTCAGTGGAGAAGGTTTGTTTCTGCTTCATGCACTTCCAAAGTGGCTCACTCACATGGCTGGAAAGTTGGTCCTGCTTTTGGCCAGAAGCTTAGCTGTGTCTGAGTTGGGAGACTTGGCTCTTCTCGACGTGAACCTCTGCTTGTGGCTGCTTGGGCTTCCTCACAGCATGGCAGTTGGGTTCCAATAGCAAATGTTCCAAGATAAAGAAAATGGAAGTTGCCAGTCCTTTAAGGGCTGGACTTGGAAACTGGCACAGTGTAACTACTAGTTTTCTATTGTTGCACAATAAATTGCCACAAACTTAGTGACTTACACAGTATTTATTTATTAATTCACAGTTCTGTAGATAAAAGTCCAACCAAGTTTGACCAGGTTGTCTGCTTAAGTTCTCATAAGGCCAAAAGCAAGGTGACAGCCAGGTTGGGCTCTTATCTGGAGGTTCTGGGAAGAATCTGCTTACCAGCTCATTCAGGTTGATGGTTGAATTCATTTCGGGTTGATGGTTGAATTCTATTCCCTTGCTGGTTGTCAGCTGGGGCTGCTCTCCATTTCTTTCAGCTATATGCATTCCTTCACATGTGGCCCTCTACCTTCAAAGGCAGCAACAGTGCACTGAATTTGCCCTGCTGCTTAAAATCTCTGACTACTTCTTCTACTGCCAGTGGAAGACAGCTCCACTTTTGAAGGGCACACGTGATTAGATTAGGCCCACTTGGAAAATCTCTCCCTTGCCCTGGAATGTAACATAATCTTGGAAGTGATTTCTCATGATATTCACAGGTTCCACCCACATCAAAGGGGGGATTATACAAAGATGTGGGTTATTGGAGGTCATCTTGGAATTCCACCTACCACAGTCACATCGCTGAATTCTATTGACCAAGTCATCACAGTGTCCAGGTTCAAGGAGAGGGGACTTAGACCCTACTTTCAATGGAGGAGAGACAAACAATTTTGAGGTCATGTTTTAGAACCAGACTCCTGTGTGGTGCATATAGTTAATGCACTCGGCTGCTAACCAAAGGGTTGGAAGTTTGAGTCTACATAGAAGAAAGGCCTGGCATCTACTTCCTAAAAATCAGCCATTGAAAACTCTATGGAGTACAGTTCTACTCTGATACACATGGGGTTACCATGAGACGGAATCCACTGGACAGCAACTGGTTGACTGGTTTTTAGACCATCAGACACTCAAATCATTTTTGGGAGTGAGGGGAGAATATAAAGGCACGGGAGGGTGTCTTAGTTATCTAGTGCTGCTATAAAAGAAGTACCACAAGTAGATGACTTTAAGAAAAAGAAATTTATTTTCTCACAGTTTAGGAGGCTAGAAGTCCAAATTCAGGGTGCTGGCTCTACAAGGGTGTAGAGAGGGTAACGAGTGCCCAGGGACAATTTCTAAGTTTCACACCCCCAAACCCATTTTAAGATGAATAGACAGTGAAGGTGGCAAGATGCCAGCAGAAACGTCTGCCCCCCTCTTGTCCAGCCTCATCAGTCAGGTGTCTTTCATATCTGTGACACCTCAGAATATCATTCTGCACCTCATCTGATGCCCCCTTGGACTTGTGCCCCAGGGCAAGTATCCCACACTGTCCCCCCCTTGTTACACCTCTGCGGCTATAGGGGAAGGCTTTCTCTCTCTGTCGGTTCTGAAAGAAGGTCCTTGTCTCTTTGAGCTTCTGCTCCTGGGAGATCTTCATGTAGCTTGGCATCTCTCTTCCCCCATCTCTGCTTCTAGCTTGCATTTAATCTCTTTTATATCTCAGAAGAGATTGGCTCAAGATACACCCTACACTAATCTTACCTCATTAAATAACCAAGACAACCCCGTTCCCAAGTGGGATTATAACCACAGGCATAGAGGTTAGGGTTTACAAACACATATTTTGGGGTGACATAATTTAGTCCATAAGAGAGGGGATGATCTGTGTTGATAAAGGTGTCCTAGACAAGCAGGCTACCAGCCCTGGACCTTGGGTCTACGGTTTCAGCCATCCTGCAAGTGACAAGAGACCTTTCAAGAGCAACCTCATTTCTTCAGTGGGGAAAGAGTGGCATTTGCTTATGAGTGCAAGGATTTTAAAATGTGTCAAATCTTTTAAACGCATTCAGTAAATTTGTGGCCCTCTATTGGTACCCTGGCCCTATGCCAGGAGCCCCCCACTTAGTCGGTACTCTGTGTATCATATAGTTCACACGCTAATAGTTAAACAAAAAGCAAAGTAAAAACAGCCCTGAAGACTGAACTTGGATTTTCAAAGATAAATAAAATGTGTTTTAAAAATGAATTGCAAAGTATAAGTTGCAAAATGCCTTTGGAACATCAGAATCTAATTTATTCTAGTTGTACTGAAGAATTTTCATTTTCAGCCCATCAGAACGGCCTGACACATGGCGGATGTGCATGGTTGAAGAATAATCACACCACCCTTTTTGGGAAATCTTTGCCTGCACCCTGGCTGGGAGTTGCTGTGGAAACGAAACCCCCCAGGTGTCCGTGTTGGCTTTCATCATGGACTCTTTCTTGTTTCTGGGGATGAGAATTAAATTTGCTTTGACTGCAGATGAGAACATCGATCAAGCAAGTGTTTTGCTGAACTTGCTGCTTTCTCCAACTACTCCACCGGTCATTGAAAATACTGCCGTCCAGTGGACTTTTGCTGATCTCTTTTCTCCCATGTCCCACTTGATTTACTTTACTTGGTATATGTCCTTCAAAAGTCAAAGTTGAGTCCATGGATTGTTTGGGGTTTTTTGAGAATCCCAAGACTCCAAAGGATTGTTTTTAAGCTTGTATTGCAAGTCTCAAAAGGGCTTAACATTACTTTCTCTTGCCTGTTCATTTGTTTGTTTGTTTTGGATATTCTCCTGGCCAAGACCAGCTGGCTGGTCATGCTTAGCTGTGTCTGATCCACATTTATTGTATTCTTGCCATTCCATAGACCAAATGGCAATCTGTATCTGCAAATGAAACTTTTCCTACGTTCTCTCCTTCTTGTGGATTCAAGGACTACAACGTGTTCACCTTTACATTCCCTACAAGGCTGGATACAGCACCAGGCACAAAGGGTACCTGTAAACACCTGCACCATGCCCCAATATCCATTTCTCTTATTCTTCGTGTATTAGTTTTCTAGTGCTGCCATAACAAAGTACCAAACTGAATAGCTTATAAGAACAGAAATGTATTATCTCACAGTTTTGAAGGCTAGGAGTACAAAATCAGGGTGTTGGCTGTGTTGATTCTTTCTGAGTGCTCCCAGGGAGGATCTGTTCCATGCCTCTCTCCTAGCTTCTGGTGACAACTGGTGATCCTTGGCGTTCCTTGGCTTGTAGATGCATCACTCCAATCTCTGCTTCCATCTTCATGTGACCATTTCCCCTCAGTGTCTGTGTCTCTTCCCTTTTATAAGGAAGGATAGGACTCATAATCAGATTAGGACCCACTCCACTCCAGTATAACCTCATTTAACCTCACTGATAATATCTTTGAAGACCATATTTCCAAACAATGTCGTGTTCAAAGGTACTGGGGGTTAGGATTTCAACATAATTTTTTGGGAGACACAATTCAATCCATACCACTATGGTAAAAGAATCCCTAATTTTTAACTGGGCAAAAATACATACTGCATTTCCTAGCCTCCCTTGCAGCCAAGCACGACTATATAACTAAATTCAGATCAGGGGGATGTGGGTGGATCCCACCTTTTAATTAAGAGAAATATGTTTCCCCTTTTCCCTTTTTGCTCCTTTCTGCTGGCTGGAGTGTAGAAGTCGTAATGAGCCACTGTAGACAACACCCCTGAGAGGGCAGAGCAAGAAGATTAAAGGAATATGAGCCCTCAAGGGTTTTGAAGAGCAACACTACCCCATAGCTGGGTCTTTTACAGAGAAAAAGAAACTTGTCTTGTTTAAACCACTGTTATTTTCATCTCTGTCACAGCAGCCAAACCTACATACTAACTGTGACGGTTAATTTTATGTGTCAACTTGTCTAGGCTATGGTACCCTGTTGTTTGGTCAAACACTAATCTAGACTGTTATAAAGTAGTTACATGTGATTAAATCAGTTAGCCTTAAGTAAAGTAGATCATCCTCCACAATGTGGGTGAGTCTTATTCAATCAGTTGAAGGCTTTAAGAGCAAAAATTGAATTTTTCTACGGTGTGTTCTGCCTCCAGACTATAAATAGACATTTGCCAAAATTTCAGCTCTCTTCACTCTTCCCATCACCTGACCTATGGATTTTGGTACACAAGCCTACCAAAGTCTGCAATCTGTCACCTGTTATATAGATTTTGGACTTGCCAGCCCGTCACAACTCTGTGAGCCCATTCCTTGAAGTAAATCAATATCTATCTATGTATCTATCTATCTATCTGTCTGTCTGTCTAGCAGTTTACCAGTTACCATCAAGTCAATTCCAACTCATGGTGACCCCATGTGTTTCAGAGTAGAACTGAGCTCCATAGGATTTTCAATGGCTGTGATTTTTTAGAAGTAGATCATCAGGCTTTTCTTCCAGGGTACCCCTAGGTGAATTTGAACCACTAGCCTTTACGTTAGTAACTAGTGCTTAACCATTTGCACCATCCAGGACTCCTATATAACACCTCCCCCTCACCACTGATTCTATTTCTCTAGAGAACCCTAACGAAGACACTGACTAATACAGGTGGATACACAGATAAAAGCTGGAGGCCATTTGGGAAAGTCAAGATTTATTGGGAGAGGTTTAGGTCTTAAGAACTAGAAAGAACTTGAGTTTGGAGTCACAGTGGTGCAGGTTACTTAATCTCTGTCAAACTCAGTTTCTGTTCGGTAAAACAGTAATAGTAACACCTACCACATGGGGTTCCTGTTGGATCAAATTTGATATGTCTATAACGTGCCAGGCACATAATAGATGGCCAGCAAATGGTAGCTATAATTATGATTAAATGTCACAAGAAAAGAGATCATTCATAAACTTAAGTCTCATTTAGACACAAATGCATTCCTCTTCACACAACATAGGAGTTCTCTTAGCTAGGGTTTCTAGAAAGCAGACACTGAAAAGAAAATTGGTAAACAGATAATTTATTCAGGAGGTAATCCTAGGGAGGAGGCTAGGGGGAACAAGGAAGGAGGAAGAGTCACTATTGTCAAGGTGCGTTAGTTTCCTAGGGCTGCCATAAGATATTACCACAAACTGAGTGGCTTAAAGCAACGGAAGTTCATTGTCTCACAGTTCTGGAGGCCAGATGTCTGAAATCTAGGTGTCTGCAGGGTTGATTCCTTCTGCAAGCTCTGAGAAAGAATCTGTTCCATGCCTCTGTCCTAGCTTCTGGTGGCTCCACAATTTTTGAAGTTACTTGGCTTACGCAGCATCGTTCCAATCTCTCCTTCCGTCTTCACATGGTCTTCTACCTGTGTGTCTGTCTCTGTGTCTCTGCTCTTATAAGGACAAAATCCAATGAATTTAGGGCCCATCCTAATCCAGTATGACCTCATCTTAACTAATTACATCTGCAAAGATCCTATTCCAAATTTCCACATTCTGACGTTTCGGTGGACATGAAT